GTAAGGCCATATAGCCACCCCAAGTGATCTCACACATGTGGTATCATCTAAGCCTATAATATATATATATAATGGTAATTGTACTGAATGGAGTGCAATTTGGGTTGAAATCATACGTGTGGTTTCAAAATCGAACGAGCGCACAGCGAGAGTATATATATATATATATTTCTATTTTACAGAGAAACCTTCTTTGGGCCTAAGCCGGGAATTTAAGCTTTATTTTTCTAAGATATTTCAAGATTACCTCAACATTGCGCTGTAGTTAATCAAACCTAACAAATTCTGCCAAATTAAATTAATAAGTCATCATCATGGGCTTAGTATCTTTAAAGAGAACCGCATTCAATTCGAACAGTTTTAGTATTCTGATTTTGCATCGAGCATTATCCCTAGGGGATACGGTAGTAAACAAATATTTTAAGACTGACTATCGCAATATGTAGCCTTCGAAGAAGAAGAAATTCCAGTACTTCAAACAGAGAAAATTTGTCACATTTTTGAAAGGATGACATTATCAGATAAGACGGCGCTAAATCCTGATATGTGCAACCAACTGAAATAAAATATTTTTGGAGAGACTTAACATAATTTTAAAAAATCAAAAGCGTCGTCGAAAGCACAAAATGGCGGTTGGAGACTGATTAAGTGGTAAATCAAGACGACCCGGCGGGAAAAGTTGAAAAACATACCTAAATCGAACGTTTCATTTCAACTGTCTTGTTAACTTTATGCCCAAAATTTCGCCTCTATCACTTTTGGATGACAACCATGTTGAGTAAACGCGAAGATCAGTATCAATTCACTGATTTCTAATAGACTTATTAGAACATACGACGAGTAACAACGAATAAACCGCGAACATTTTGAATTGGGTACAAAAATCTTCGATACCTGCGATGGTCGCCATGTTGAAACTGATAACTATCCCAGCTCAGGGCACCAGGTTTCTTGCCAGAGCTATTATGTTTCGCACTTTAGCCAATTTGTATAGCAATGGCTATAAATATTTCTTTGCGGATAGTTGGAAAGTCAAACCCGAACTTTCTGCTTCCAAGCCGGCACCGGATGGAAGTCTTACTTCCGATTTTCCAGTTTGAAATATGAGTCTTAGGTACTTCTTCGATTGATGTTATATGTTTACCTCAATAACGAACCTAGAGAACTGTCTTCCAAGAGCTTGCATTACAATCACCTGTACTCCTTGAAGAGTAGTTTTCAAATCCCTGAACTCCCATTTATCTGGCAGCTATTGTCGTTGCTTAGCCCAATCCTTGTCTTTTCTGCGCATTCGACAAGATGAGAACCTGAGTAACCATAACGTACCTGAACTTGATTAACAATAGTGCACCAACATTTGTTTCGAAGGAATCTATAGGCTTACATGGGGATAAGGTTTTCCTACGCCTGTAAGGAGACTGAAGTAGTCGCTTAGTCACCATCGAAAAAAAAAACAGCCAGCCAACGGAAGATGTCAAGCCACTGAAGGGAAGGAAAGATCAACCGGAAAGACAGACAGACAGACACGCGAAATAAAGGCAGAGGGACTGATGGAGAGGCGAAGGGATAGACTGGCTTAAGGACGGCAGAATGGACGGATGGATTGAGGGATGAAGCCGTGGATGGGTGGATTAACATACAGATGCTTGAATAAATGGGTGGACAAAAAAGATACATGGAATTTTGTGCACGTAACTGTACCGCTAAGATATAGTATTACGATTGAGTACTTAGCTGGTGTAGCTTGGTCGCATAATTCTTCAACTGAAAATCTAAAACCCTTGAACTCCAAGATCTATTTGGAGAATTTGGTAATGGAACGACTAAATATCCCCTAATTGATATTTTTGTTTATTCCCATCACTTCTAGGGTTGATATTGTCTTAATATTTAGCCTGCGTTGCTGGTGGTCTGCGGTTTTGGAGGCGGATAGAAAAACCGCAGACCGCCAGCAATATCCACGAGCTGAAGATAACACGACTTTAATGTGCTTTAAAATGGTCTGGGAACTTAAAGAAAGATACCATCGCCATCCAGGGTGGGAGGGGAGGGTGATGGTGTAGCTACCATTTACGCGCCATAAGTTTAATGATTATGTGCTTTGCGCGTGTATTACTTTTCCCGCCCCTTCTTTCTCATGCGAGTTTAACCCTTTAACTCCCAAGATCTCATAAGTAATTCTCTTTACTGTCTGCCAAATGATTCTCATTATGTTAGTTTGGAGACTTTGGTATTGGATCAATTAGTAATCCCATATTTTAAATTCTTCCTTATTCTCACTACCTGTCTGCATGATATTGTATAGATATAGTAAGGAGATGTTCTCCCCTGGTCACTCACGGGAGTTAAAGGATTAAAAGCGTTGTTTTCTCTCAGTGTTAAGGCTTTATAACCAACATGTCCCTTTCGATTTATTTTCGTGACATTAGCTTCATGAACCTTTGAACAAAAGTTATTTGGATGTTAGATTTAAATGTTTTGGAAACAGTAGAACAAAATAGTTGATAAGATGGTCGCATTCTATACTTGTGGGCATTGGATGCAGTTAACTTGTTTATTAATCGATTTGTTGTAGAAAAGCGAGTCTATCCAAAGTTAATGCATAAAGGGGGTAAGTTTGTAAAGAAACTGTGGTTCTGCGTCGGTGGGAGAGTATGACAGGGTGGTTTAGTATTATCAATTAAGTTGATAACGTAAATCAGCCAGCTTAAAGAGTTCAAAAGCGTTTAAACTCTTTACGGTGGCCAATTTACGCAATCAAGTCAGCTGATAATACTAAATTACTAAGTTAATGTAGGCTAATTGTTGGAAGCTAATTGTGACCGTTTCGGAATTTTGCCAACTTGTGGAAAAATGATTTGTCTTTATCAACGATGGTTTGAGTTTACGACGTTAACGCTTGATCTGCGTAATAGTTGAGAAGGAGTGCTGGTAATAAATAAGTTATAGAGGTGTATGGTGCTCCCAAATATGAGGTTTTTAAGCCGTTCTGGTACAAAGGCAGGTCGGTGTACATTTTTATCATTTTGGTTTAGAATTAGGTATGTTTTTCAAGAAAACCACGCAAGGGTATAAACGTAGCTGATTTTTTAACATGATCAAAGTGAAACACAAGTATGAAAAATATATTTTTCTACTGTTTTTTTTTTGGGGGGTGATTTTCGTAACTTCTTAACTTCGGCATTGATACAAGCCTTTTCAAATTCTTCTACAAAATAGCGTAAAGGACTCTTAAACCAAACAAAATTTGTCTGGTGGGGATATTAGAGGCCAAGTACAAAACTAATCATAGAAATAGCACTTCTTTTATCTGAAATAGGATCTGGGTGGATAATCCCTGCCAAACATCCCAAGGCGAATCCCCCTCCCTATCCGCATGGTTGTTTCAAAAAACGCGGGATAGTTAACTATGCGACGGCTCGCCGCCTTTCAGAGGTCTTCTTATTTTCAGGCAAGATTCTGATTGATTCGAATTTTTCTTTCAAAAAGGGAACGACTCTGGCTTTACGTCTTTCCTTTTCCATTAGTTTCTGTACCATGACATTTTAATCCGAATTGTTTTGAGCGGTGTAATCTGCGACCACCGAAATAGTAAATATGGCGTCCATCTCCTCTTTGACCTCGAACGAATGCCCCTGAACAACGCGAATTTATCCTCTTAATGCAATCATGCTTACCCATGGGCTAAATAAAGAATACACGATGTGTGACAAACTGCTAAAATGTCCACGTCCTTCTGTAACGTGCAAGAAAGTCGCACTACGTGCGTGCGATTTCCTTCCCGAAAAGTGTACGTCATCGATTTGTCACGGGGAACTACGTGAACTAGTGAAAGCACGGACAAGACGTTTCTTTCGGTCAACATTTCAATCATGATCAGGGATAGTAATCATTACAATTATATGTTACCATTTGTGCTTTGATCTGATAGTTAACTCGTTTTTCTTGGCTGTGATTAACATGGTTTTTGGCGAATATTCCCTTCAATGGAACGAACTACACGCAATAACACAAGAATGCAAATATTCCCGCACCCCTGAAGAACCGATCGAGAGAGATAAATAGACAACCCTTCCTGAAACAAGGTACAAACCCTACGGGTGTACCCTTCTGGAGCAATAAAAGGCCAAAGAAAGGAACTTCGGAACATATCTTGAGTCAACTTCGAACTGCGTTGCTTAATCCAAGTTTAGTTTAGAACTCGGTTCGATAAGTACATTCAGATGGCTAACTTTGGTCTCTCTGAACATCAACAAATATTGGAAAAAATTTGCCGAATTTGTGGAGAGCGATTGAAGAAGGCAAAAGATAAGTATGAGAACAGTTTTCTTTGCGCTAATAGGACGGAGATTATTTTCACAGCCTTTGGTGTCAAAGTTGGTAAAGATGACCTTGACATGTGCCCTCCCAAGTTCTGCCACAAGTGTTACAAGCTTGCTTTAAGAGGAGGCACACGCCTTGCAATCAATGTGTGGCCTCCACACAAACGCACTGGAAACTGTAAGATCTGCAGTTTCTTTAAAGATTAACAGAAACCTGGTAGGAAGAAGAAGACTAAACCTAAACTCAGAGAGGACTCAGCTGGACCCAAGGAACAAGTGGAAATGGTGGAAGGAATGTCTATGCACTTTAAGCTTCCAACCTGACCCAGCCTCACTCTCATTCTCTGAGGAGGTAAAGAATCTACAAAGCTTTAGAGGATCAGAACCTCTTTACCCAGAAGAGTTTGTTGAAAACATTAAGCGTGAGTATATGTGCCCAATTTGCAAAGAGGTACTTGATCAACCAGTCCAGACTAAATGCCGAACTCCACACATATTTTGTGCTAGTTGTTTTTCATTTTCTTTTCAAATGTGTGGATCCCTTTACCCGATGTGCTGAACTGTCATTGTAACTCCTAATGAGTTCATTGAGCCAGCCCTTTTGTTCTTCGCACCATACTTTCAGAGTTAGCTTTTCGATGTCCTACCTGTAAACACACAGTAAAACTTCACCAACTACCTCGGCATCAAGAATGTTGCATTCAAAGCCCTACAACAGCACCCACACACATCTTCACCCCTTCACAAAGATCAGTTCCAGTGACACCATTCCCCCTTACCTTAGTGAAACCCATACCTGCAGCAGAGGAAGAGGGACCAGCACAGGTAAATGTACCATCACTACAAGTAGAACCTACAACCACCACTGATACAAATACAACCTGCAGAGAACAACTGACAGTTGATCAACTACTAACCAGGAAGCTTATTTATCCCTAGAGGAGGAAGTTGGATTGTTCATCATTAGACAGTTCCTTTCACAGTTTCAGGATGGGGCAACTATTCTCCTTAAAACACGTGGCCAGGTAAAATATTTTTTAAGTTGAAAATAAAGACATTCATTTTCAAAACAAAAGATAAGATAATCCATTTTCAGCCCTTAGAATTAGTGAAAAGGACCAAGGCAAGGAAAACAACTGACGAGCTAACAATGAAAACTGCTGGACATAGATCAAAGGTAGTAGCAGAGACCAGGACAGCTATGAGTGGTGGTGCAGCTGATACCTAGTTGAAAGATGAACTGTATACAATGGGCAGACTGGAGAGGGAGGCACTGAAGAAGGCCTTGGGAAAGGAATTTAAAATCACCATTCCCAGAGGTGACATCCTAGTAATGAAAGCAGACCTTAGCGAAACATGGTACAAGGTTAGAAAGCTTAGGAGGTAAGAAAAACATGAACTAAAAATCATTAAAAACCCCAAAGATTTTCCAAAGACATTAGATATCAGTAACAGTAATTGTTTTGAGTTTGTATCCAAATTTGCCAACTGCCTGAATACCCTCAATCTATTTAGAAAATTATGATAACTATTGTCTCTACAGATGGTTTGATCAGTGGGGACTACCCTCAGAGCGTAAAATAAGCCAACAAAAGCAAGTTCAGTCCATCACTGACCCTGCCAACTTGGTTTGTGAAATGATCCCATTTGAATTCAAAAAACCAGGTTGCCATCCAGAGGTCAGGGAAGCAGAGTTTGGTTATGTTACAGGCCTGAACTAATTCATACATCTTCATCTGGTCGAAAATGAAAATTATGATAATGAAGAAATAGTCAAAAAAAAGAAAAGTAAATGCAATCATTAGATAAATGATTGAAATTAAACAAAGTTAGCTGTCGCCTTTTGTTGTGAATTATAGTCAGTTAGAGTTGGTTATCATTTTAGGAATGGAAGGCTGACATGGAACAATGCAATCCCAGAAAATGAAGTGCACATAAAACTTGGAGGAGATGCTGGTGGTGGGTCATTTAAAATGGCCTTCCACATTGCTAACCTGAGGCATCCAAACTCTAAAACCAACACAGTGGTCTTTGCCATGTTCCATGCAAAAGATAGTTGGGCTAATTTAAAGACAGCCTTAATGAAATATAAAGAACAAGTAAACACCTTGAAAGAAGCAACCTGGGCATAAGTTAAAAAAATATGCCACACTTTTAGTTAGTCTAGAGAATAGAGACTTAAAAGATAACATTACTTATATTCCTCTTTTTGTTTTGCCCATTTCTAGAGGGAAAACATTTCCTGTTTGGTGACTATGAATTCCTGTGCAAGTTATTTGGAATAGCTGGTGCCTCAGGTATGATCTAGACAGTAATTCACATATACAAATAATTATGATTTAGCAATTCAATAAAAGAATATAAATGTAGCCTCTACTTTATATTACTATTTCTGTGAAACAGGTTTCCACCATGAGAATTGTATTTTCAGACAAATATCCATGTCTTTGGTGCAAGATAAATCATGAAGTAATGCAAGTCTCTTGCCATAAACATGGGTATGCTGAAAAATGAAGCCTTGAAAACATTCAAGAGGATTATGATTAGTTTATAGCAAATGAACAAATGGAATTGGCTGCTTTTCAGAAAGCCAATGGACCACTATCAGTTCATTTGTATGAGGTTCTCAAGAAAATGAATGTTGAGAGACAAGCTTACCATGGAAAATCATTCATTGGTAACCATGTGCACACTTGTTGCAAGGTAACACAAATTCTACCCTTGGAGTAGGAATTTGTTGAGTCACAAAATTCTAATGAATTGTTGCTTTTTTTTGGGGGGGGGGGTAGGGAGACATCATTAAACTATGCAGCGCTGTGGTGACAAAAACAGTGGAGCTGTGTCCTTCCTTCCTTTCTCAAGCAAGAGAAATTAGCGTGAAACTCGAACAAGTTTTCAAGTTATTTGCTGCTTGCCACTTTGTATATGACAGTGCAGACTATCTCAATGATAGCAACATTGATAAGATAGGTAAGCGAAAGAAAAAACTAGACTTTCATAGAAAACATGAATACGGTAATAAGACCATGTCTTAAGTTCACCTTTTCTTGTTTTCTCGCAGGAGAAGACATCACAAATTTTCTTCAATTCCTTAAGGAAAAATTCCCAGACATGACGATCACACCAAAGCTGCATATGCTAGAAAATGTTTGCCCTTTTCTTCGACAATGGCACATGGGCCTCGGATTCTATGGTGAACAAGGGATTGAAGGAATACACTCTGAATTCAATACCCAGTCCCAGCATTTTGACCATGTGAAGGAAAAGGACACGAGATTGAGTCAAATCCTTGTTGACCACCACATTGCCACGAGTCCGGAACTAGCAGGGAAAGCTCCCAAACCTAAAAAAAGAAATTGAAAACGAGAAGGGAACGAGTAAAACTCTTTCCTTTTCACTAGCAATGTATCGGTTCGTTGACTAAGAACGAGTACCATGTGTGTAAATTTAGTGCTATTTATTTGCTCAAGTTCTAATTTAGACGAATTAAAGTATAACCGCACTCTTTGAAATCAAAACTAAACCTTTCCAGTCGTTTGCAGGCTGTTTCGCTTGAAATTCAGTACCTCCGAGATTCAAAATGGAGTCACATAACGCCCGATCTTGACATATTAAAAGCGCCTCGAATGGAGTCTCAAACAATTCGGATTAGAACACTTACCTCTATCAGTTGTTCAGTAAGGTTTCAAGTCTTCTCTTGTGACTCTTGCTTGGCTAGAAAAATTCGAGCCTTTTCCAAATTGAAATCAAAGTTTTCAGTTGATTTCACAGGGTGTGCTTCTTAGACTCCACTATAGCAACGTGTTTTCGTCGAACACAGGCAAAA